GTGGAGCAATGGACGTGTCTTACACAGATTTCAGCAGAATCTTTGATACATCATCATGAGTAAGCAAGTTGTGAACAAGATCAGTGAAGGCAGGGAAAGGGACCAGGGGTTTAGTTTGCAAAAATCCAAAGATATAACATCTAAGCATAGCAGGTACCCAGAAACCAGTGCTCATAAATACAGCAGGAGGATCTAGCAGAAGCAAGAAGCCTGTTGCCCATTTACCCACGCTTTTTTTTTTTTAAGCTTAAATTCTAATTATGATTAATGGCAGGTGTTTAGAAAAGACAAGATTTGCTTGGGATATGCAGGACCAGACCCTCCATTTGGAGGAATCAAGTTTAAGCATATTAGTTGAAAGAATTAAAATACCAGATAACTATAAATGGGACTCATAGCTAAGTAACAAAATGTTCATCAAGAGATCTCCCATGTTTCAGAAAGCATATAGCAACACATCAGGAGAAAGGAAGCAAAGCAGTCAAACCCTCAACTAAGACAAACTCCTTTGTTTCTTTTAAAACTAAGTAGAGGTTTTGCAAGAGCAGGAGAAGCAGTGGAACTGGTGAGGATCTGAACAAGCAACACCATAAGTACATTCTACTCAATATTTTTCTTTACATAGATGTATAGAACTATCATCACACAACACAAAGCCAAGCCTCAGTAACAAACAGCGATAGCTGAATGGATAGAGGAATAACTTGCTTATGGTCTGAAATTGAGAAAGCCTCCAAAAAACTCAAGAGAATAAACACATCGAACTTAGGAAGCTAGTTAATTTCACTACAGTTTCAGATACCTTCAGGGAAAAAGCAGTTCTTTAGAGTGACCCAGTTGGTTTTTCTCTGTGAATCCACTTTCCTCCTGTCACAAAAACATACCACTACTGCATACCACAAAGATCTACTTTCTTTAAATTTTGTCTGTTTTATTAGGAAAAAAATAGATGGCTTCCCATTTCCAAGGATAGCCAGAAGGCAGGCAGCAAGTACACTGCTTGCTTCACCTCACCAAGTGCTTTACACATTAGGAAATCCAGGATAAGCAGAAAGCTTCAGCAGTCCTTTCATTCTGGGACAATTTTGCATTGCTCCAGACCATCAAATGGTTGTATATTCTACCCGCATTAAAGGGTGCTAAGCAGAGACTTCAGCTTTTGTAAGTTTTAATAACTCTCTATTAACATGTTGCTCAGCTACTACAGTCATTACTATGACTGACTTGCAGTTGACTAGATGAGATAAGGGCAGACAGAATCCATTCAGTCTTCAGCACTTATAGAGGTAGAACTGTATACTACATGTTGAGGATGCTGTTTCCTTTTCCAGATTCTAGACTACGGCACTATAAGAACAAGTCTTCCAGAATTTGAGCTTGGTCCCACTGTGAATATGATGTATATGGAACCAAGGTTTTCTGAAGAACAGGAAGAACTGAGGTGACTGATCCACATAGGCAATTAACCTTGTACTTGCATAAACTGTCTTAATTTGTGCAAGAGTTATGAACCATCTTACTATTGTATCAGCAGACCTCACAGACACGTGAATTTTTGCCATATTTAAAAACAGCGTTACACCAAATATTTTTGGTGATTGAGGTATTGTTACTTGTTTGCTTTTGTCTACAGATATATCTGCACATACAAGAATGACATTATTTTCTAATTGCTTGGCATAGAACTAATACTCAACAGTTTTAAAACCATGAAAAATATTTATCATAGGAAAAGGAGGAATCCATAACATTTAAGAAGGCAAATTATGATGCAAGAATTTGCCAAGACACTTTTTATTAGTACACTTAAATAAGGAAGGCCATAACTGTAGATCAAGAACTATTACAGGATCCTCTACATGAAGGAAGAATAAAATATCTGCGCTGACCTTGACAAAGCAATATTTCTCTTGTGATGGCATCCACCATCAGCTGCCTTGTGAGGTAATACGAAGATTCATCATTGATGAATCATTCATTGGTTTGGAAGTCACCTCTCTACCAAAGCATTGACAATAGGAGTTCATCCATATTCCTCTCCATCTTTCTCATTGTCTCCCAAGAAGTTATTTCCCTGCTAGCAAGATGCATAAATACATCTGAGACATTTGAAGTCTAATGGTAAATCTGTACTGGCACAGCATTAGAAAGAAAAATTTTCCAAGAGAGCATCAATTGATCCTAGAGCCTGCAACTCCATTCTAGGACACACAGTGCTACTTCGCCACAAGCTCCTTTCAGAACCTTCAGTAGATCTGTAGATTATATAATCTGAACCGAGTTAACATAGTAACAGGCTCTCTCAGCTTTCAAAGCAGATGCCTCATAAGCATCATCCAGACATTAGAAAACCTGATCCTGAAAGACTGATAGGAACTTCACATAAGATAAAATGAGATAAAATGTATCTATTGAGATAAACGTTTCTAGGAATGTTTGCTTGAACTGACAACAATTACCAAGATAGACCAGAGAGTATCAGCTACAAAAGGAAGGAGCAAAAACTTATGTTTTACACTGCTTGACAGAGCAGAGAGACTGTATTTCTCACTGTGAAAAGCTATTTGAGACAAGGAGTTAGCCCAGCTCATGAGCATCCATAATATTTGGCTCCCAGGAATCTAGAAAAGCTGGCTTGATTACATTATTAAACATTGCCTTTGTAATTCAGGTACTCAAACTTAGCTCAAAAGAAGCCTCGTGTGATCTCTTTCATGTGGTTTAGAAAATGCCTACTCTGTGTGTGACATGCAAAGATAGTTTACTTAGTAGATATACATCCAGAAGCAACACGGCTATGTAAGAACAGAACTTTGCCAGGGATGCTTTCCTTTCTAGCAGAGAACAGCACACCCACCCTGCTTCCTGACACTGTGAACAGCAGAGTACATTCAGAGGTAGCTTGGTTTACTTTACTGCATCCCCACTGTGGACAGAATAGTCATCATCTTCATTTTTCCTTTGTTTGATTCTAAAACAATGGAGAATACACCCCCCCACACTCCTTTTGCTTCCTTACTTCATTGTGCAACATTATCTAATTTCCTATTGTTATTAGAACTACTACTACCACCTTTTATCTTTTACTTAACCACATGATTAACTCCTACTTCTCACTGTCACACACCTAACCATCCTAGACTTGTTTACCATATATTCTGTTAGCTTTTACCATTAATGCCACATCCTTTCCAAAGCATTTGAGGAAAGTAACACCAAGGCAGTTTCTGTTCGTAGAATTTATTTGTCCCATCAAGGAAAAAGAGGCTACATCACAAGGAACATGTCACGTTGTACAGAGGACACAAAACTCTTTAGAAACTGTAAGTGCAGGTGTGAGAGAGCTGTGGCATCACACTAATGTTTGCAGCAGGTTATCAGAGAAAGTCTGTAGTGAATGACTCTACAGCAGAAAACTTTGATGACTTGGGTTCATGCTGAGAAAAGTAGTTGTACTGAAGTCATGGAATAAAGTAGAAAACAATTTATCTTCCCACTTAGTTACTCTCTCTGAGCAAAGAGCTCTGGGTCAGGATCTCTTATTTCCAGCTGAGCCCTATCATTTTACATCAGCAAAGAATCTGGCCTTCTCTTTTAAGAGAGAAAAACATGAATCATGTTGCATACACTTAATGAGAAATCCGGAGTTACCATGCTCTTTTAAGTTCACAGGACCAAGCACAAATGCAACAGACTTATTCTTTTATGGTGGGATAATGGAAAATTGGCTGCACCTCAGTAATGTAGGCCCAGAAGTAACAAAGTAAAAGGACTAATCATCCAAACTAACAATGAGTATTGTACAAATACAGGAAATAAAAATCTCTATAGGCAAAAGAGTTAATGCTCTGCTTGATATTATAATCTATCTTTCTCTTCTGGTAGAAGGTTTACCAGACCTGATATATCAGCTGCTGTCTCTGATACACATCCACTGCCTCCGTATGTGCTTCATGTGTATGCTTGCATATCACTCTGCAGTCAGCCAGCAGCTTTAAAATACCACACTGATAGCTCACATGATGACATGCCTCATCCTGTGCTCATGAAACTTAATTTCTAGGTCTCAAGTCTACATACATACACGCAACAGCAGAATCAAAGAGGCAGTTTACAGTGACTACTGGGCTAGCAACTGTTTCTTGGGCCATTTTATAACAGCAAACTCTGGAGTGAGCTAATACAGATGGTTTCATCAGCATGTAGCCTCTAGGAACGGAAGAGATATCACAATCATGTAATCAGATACTGTGTGCTTTACAGGCCACAAATTTTCATCAGCTGATTCAGAGATTAATATCTTCGAGGCCACTCAAATCACAGGATGATACCAGCTAATAACTTGCTTTATTTTTTTTTTTTTTCCCCAGCAAGGTATGTGGAATATTTAAATGGAAAAAAGTACTTATTCTCAATACTTTGTTCCAAACCTTACTTTAAAATTGTGGGGTTTTTTTCCCCTCATTTGCATTGTTATGAAGTAGATCCTCAACTCTTAGCTCTCAAAAAACTTTATTCCACTAGATTCAAAGCCCACTATATTACACTCACAGAGATATACTCACAAGCAATAATCATATTACCTCTTGACTTTCTTTTTACTAAGCCAAGCAGATGCATTTCTGCAGCAAGGTCTTAGTCACATATGAATCATAAACCTATTGCACTTCAATATATACCTATTCCTTGCTGTCAAAAAGGAAAGGAAGAGCTCTGCCACTGAACTTCTTGAATCTGCAGTTGGAATTCACCCAGTTCACAAAACCCTTTGAGGCCATCCTTCAAGTCAAACAAGACTCATAGCTACAAGTAGGAGAAGTAGGAGCTGTGGAAAGTAGAGGCCTATGCTCATTACATACAGTAAACCATGTAACACACAGTTTGTTTCACTCTGTGTGTGAAGCTTTGTTGCTGCACTAGGGAGAACCAACACCACAAATGCTAAATTTTTGTTGTTTTGTACTGTGAGGTATGTTACAGTACTGTGAGCAGACTGTTACCTTTGAAGTTATCATGTTATATATGATAGTCCCATTCAGTTTCCCATCAAGAACTAAACAGTGCCAGAGGATCAAGCTTCTCATACTCTTCATTGCAGGAAAAAAAAAAAACTGTTTCATGGGGCATAAAGGAAACTGAGCATATAGTGCTCAGGAGGCTTTCAGAAAACATTCAAAAAAATAACAAGCTGGAAAGAGGTCAGTGAAGCTTGTTTTACAAAATATTTGCAAGACAGCGGGAGTTAGTTTAGGACACTACAATTCCCAGAAGATGTGAGGTCAGCCATTGATGTCTTTTTACAAAGATCTGTAAATGATAAGATTCTCATAGTACTTTTTAAAGTTTAGTTTCAAGAAGACACCTGCTCTTCCCAGGTGCTTCAGACAATAGAAAGATTAATGCACACTTCCATGTCAGACACCATTTTGTCAGACTGCCCCACTCCTGCCATCTGTCACACAGCAACAAAACATAACGGAATATTGTCAGGAAGTTCAACTTCTGCCATATCACAGAAATCTGCCTCTGATATTGCATGATAACTTAATAGAAGGCATTACTTTTGGAAAAACCGTCATACCTACATTTTTCTAATTAATATTTGAACTGTAGGATTCTTCCCCCCCAATGATAAAAAAAATTCAATATTTTCAACCTTTTCTATCAGCACATTAAAACCGTACTTCTATTCGTTTAAGGAATCCAAATAACTAAGCTCTCTGCCAGCAAACTATGAAATTCTGCCATATCAGCTCAGTAGCAGTATGGAGAATTGCTAGAAACAGTCCTTCCTCTACTATTAGAGTAAGCTCATGAATACTATTTATGAGTCACCCTTCCAAAACTTATAAGATACCAACCTAGTGCTGTTTAAAAAGCAGACTGTAAACACATGCATATACACACAGAAATATGCGTGTTATCAATGCATACATATTGTCCATAGTTATTCAATTTGCCACTAAATTCACTAGTAAGTCAATGGCAACTCTAGGGTTACATTGTTCTTACACATGAACAGCTAATTTATTACCAGGTGCAGCTAACTGGATACAATTGTTAACACATTCTGCATCAAGGCTGGAGTAACACTAGGGTAGTTGTACCACAGGACCAGTTAGAGATTAGAGATTAAGATTAGCTCATACTACACCTGGGCTAGCAGCAAAAGTAGTACCTGATAACAAACGAAATAGGAAACTGCCTTTTTTTTTTTTTTTCCAGACAAATTTTGAATTTCCCTAATTGAAATTTCTCATTTTGAATTTCTCAGGAGGACAAAACTTGTTAAGCAGTATCTTATGCTTAACCACATTGACTTCATATACAGAAAACATCAAGTACCTATCATTACCTATTCAGTGAGATCAGATACAAGGAAAATGCTACAATTGCCCATGCCAGCTAACTGCTGCTCTCAGGGTCACATCTCCATGGCTCTTGAACACCTCCAGGGACACTGACTCCACCACCTCCCTGTGCAGCCTGTGCCAGTGGTCAACCACTCTTTCGGAGGAGATATTTTTCCTCACACTCAACCTGAACCTCCCCTGGCACAACTTGAAGCCATTATCTTTTATCCTATTGCCATAACGCGATAAAAGAAGCCAACTCCTCACCTTGCCAAAACCTCTTTTCAGGGAGCTGCAGAGAGCAATAAGGTCTATCCTGAGCATCCAGACTGATGGAGCATCCAGACTCCAGACTGAACCATCCCAAATTCCTCAGTCACAGCCCACAAGACTTGTGCTCGAGGCCCTTTACAGCTCATTGCCCTTCTCATGACCTCAGGGCCTCAGTGTTTTTCTCGTACAGAGGAGTCCAACATTCAACATAGTTCTTAAAGCGTGGCCTATCCAAGGTCGAACACAGAGACAATCAAACTTTCGTAGATTGCACAGTAAAATATGTGATGAGATGTAAGGAGAAATTGCACTTAATTAAGGTTCCTATTTATTTTAATCCAGTTCTAGTGTTCTTTTAAAAAAAAAAAAGTTAGCTCTTCAAAGCTTCACAGCAAATTAACACTAAGATCACGTGCACATGCATGTGAAAGAGAAAACAAAACCCCATCGTTACTTAAGGAAACATTTAAGTATTCAGCAGCAGCCATTGTTGAAGCACAGACTTTGCTTCACATCATTGTGCAGAACAACACTAACGTTCTCATTTACAATTTACAGAAATTTTAAAAGGAACGTAACTAAGGCAATATTTTGATCTCAAGTTTCTCACGATCCAAAGACACCAAAGCAACGATTCTCACATGCACTAAGCAAATTCATTCCAATATTAATAGGGAGCCAAAGACACAATTCAAAATGACAATAAGATCACTGTAGCGTGTTTCAAGCTCAAAGCACTCAACAAGTACTAGAAAAAAAAAAAACCCAGGCTCTATCTAGCCTAACACACCAGGGCGTCAAGAACTTGCCTGAACTCCGTGCAGCTCCATCCACGCTGGCTCTCAGACGAAAAAACATTCACTGCTCCTTGCTCAATAACTTGTACTTTGCTGCAAGAAGCAGGTGCAGTACATCAACGGTTTCTGGGGCAAACAAAAGAAAGGGAGGCTCCCTCTCTTCTTATTGGACACAGCTGATTGCCTCACTGGGCCAGCTGTGATTGAACGTTATGTTACCTTAATCTCATGGTAAGTAACACATGTGCATGTAGGCATAAAGGTTTTTTTCCTTAGCATACATCACCTGGAAAATGAGGAAGAAGTGTTTCTACATTCTAACCATAAGCTTATTCCAGGGTTTTAGTCAGGATTCCAAAAAAAACTCATATCTGTTGATTTGTGAATTGTTTAGAATAAAATTAAAAGTAAAACAACAGTATCCATAGAGAAGTGAGCTGGGAGCTTGTAAACTCGTTTGTGATCATGAGGTATACCCTGCCTGTGGTAATCACTTGCAACTTTGGAAATGATTTGTGAGAGCCTATAGATTCATAAACACTGCAACTAGTGATTAGTGGGGAACACTGCCTAGAGGTGCTTGAGAGGAGCTGGATCTGCACTTTGTTCCTGAGCTACTGGTGTGATCCTACTAAACTCAATTAGGATTGTCAACTACATCTCCTAGTTATTTAATTAATCACTTAACAATGGAAGCAACTTGACTTAGTAAACATAAACATATTTATATTTCCTTAAGCAAGTTGCAGAATGAAAGAAAAAGATTATATGAGCTTGAGGTTGTGTAAAAATAAATAAAAATGAAATCGTGAGCTGTGAGAAAAATGAAGTTCCCCTGGGCTAAAGAATTTTGTGGAGTTATTTTTAGCAAAGTGATAGGAGCAGTGCTAAGCAACAGGGTCTCAGGGTCTTTGCATACGTCCTCATGGTGCTGCAGTTTCACTTAGCGTAACTATGTTTTTATCACATGCCAGCTTTGTGCTCAGATAATGCATTGGAATGCTAAAGTCTGCGCTGCAATATCTCTGCTTTTATAATTAATCCAAGTCTGTGGAAAGCAGTCTGATAATAAAACTAAGTCAGACTGTTACAACACCAATAAGATGTTACAGATATCTAGCAAAGCTATTAAAAAAGTGTACTTATAAAAATTCTAAGACAGCATTATTTTGTAGGATAAGTACCTTTGAATAGCTGGCAATCTTGCACAGAGACTCTGAGCTGCAGATTCACCAGTAGCAGTGAAGAGAAGAAAGAGTTTTTTGATCTTGCATTTGTAGAAGAAAAAAATCTTAATTTGGTGTCCTTTCCTCCACAGAGGACAGTACAGGCAAGCTAAAAATGAGAGCAAATACTTCAGTTATTATATTTCAGGAAGTGCAATCTGCCAATCTGACTGTGCCTGTGTTGCAATAACACAGAAAGTGGACTTAAAGCACATACACTCATCCAACACCCTTGTTGGATGTACCCCATCAGCAGTGTTGATCAAAACAATTAGAAAAATCTCAGTATTTGATGTGTCCTGCCCATGTCTGATCCATCCAGAATAGAAAGATTAAAGAAGGTGAAACCCTTGCTAAAGTTCAAGAGATTTTCGCCCATAGCTCATATTACACAAAGACAGCAAAGATGATGGACAACCAACTTCTGAGAGGATCTTGACGAGCAGTGAGAGCATAACTTAGCACTTGGGTAATAAAACACATCAGCCTCCAGAGGTATCAAGAGTCTTTAACTTTCCATTTTCCAGACATTTTGGAGATCTGCAATTTTAGAGTCCCAGAAAGAAAATATCTTATTGAAATTGTGCTACAGATAATATAGTTCCAATTACGTAAACAGGAAAGGCAGTTTGCAAACTGAAGATTTAATTAAACTCCTAGCAATGATGATTTCCACTCATTAATTCTGTGTTGTTTGAGAAAGCTTTCCATTTTGTTTGTTTTAAAATTGAGCATAATTAGCTTTATAATATTTATCTTTAGTTCTTTTGTTATGAGAAATTCAAGCACCAAAGCCTGCTTTCAGATTTCCTGAGCTCAGCAAGAGCTGATATTAGGAAGTACCTCCACCACATCCACCTAGCTTGTGTTTCTGCTGTTTGGAACGTGCACTATCAAACAGCATGTCAGCATCCTGTTGTCTGGTCTAGAGTACAAGTACAGTGATATGTGTTTCAGTGATATCAGGTATTAGATTCGAGAGAAGCAGAAATCAGTTGCTTTAAGGCAATCTGTTTGATCTTTGGATATGAAAATATTCTACACAGTGACAGAGTGTTTGTGGTTCTTTGTCCATTGAGCTATTGGCCTTACCCATTTTACCTTCATTATAAAATTAAACTAACTACTGTTAAAGGAAAGCCAAGCATTGTGCAAAAGAGAAGGCACAGAGTCTTCTTATATATCTGTTTCACTGACTGTCCTACAAAGAATGATGGCTTGTTTTGAGGATTTGTATTGTATGGATATTGGAGGTTCTCCTGAGAAAATATTTACATACAAAAAAAAAATAAAAGATGCAACAGCATGCGGTAACAAATAAATAGAATATTTTTTCCTTCCGGAAATGAGAGGAAGATAATTTGTAGAAAATGGTGTTTCAGAGGGTTCAGAGACAAATTATTTCCTGGAGCACTTTTTGTATGAAGTGTCCCT